CATTCTTTAAAGCATTGAGAACCCCTAACAGTAAACTGTTTGGGGAAAAAGGCTCTCCTCCTTGGAACTCGGGAACTTTCCCGGACCAGAGGTATTCGTTGACGGTGCCCCAGTCTGGCTTAAGTGGTCTATGATCCAGCGTTACGCCGGTCAAAGACTGGACGGCTGCGCCTCGTCGAATCTGATCCATCACGCGCCACTGCGCTTTCAGGACAATACTCTGCGACTCTCGCAGGTACAAATCACTCATAGCCTGCGAAGCCTTCTTCCAAGCTCCTTGATACCTCACTGTGCGTGGAGTGATGCCAAAGTGGACCATGTAGGAGGGGATTGTGTTCTTACATGAATGCCACCTCAGCTTCCTAATCGCGGCCTCATCAAGCGGGACGTCCCTGCCTCGTTCAAGGTCGTCCATCAAGCACTTCTTGACAACAAGCGTATCCTCTGTGATCAGGGGAGGACACGTACGAAAACCTCCCATACCGTCTGAAGCACAGCCAACAAAATCGTGCTTCTTCCAACCCTCATCACCTTGGAAGCCGCTGGCCAAGTTGTGCATCTTGATCAAAAGATCAACCCACACAAAGAGCCACTGATCGTTGCTAGCGGAGACCGCCACCCACGCGGCAGCCCAAGGTCTGGGACCGCTTTTGGTGTAGGCGGCCTTTGCCCTCAACCCCAAAATCTCTGTACGTCCAACCGGCCGACACCACTCAACCGCGCTCATAGAAGTGCCACCTAGGTCGCTGTGTCGAACACTCGCCTGAATGCAGACTCTCAGCTTCCCACAGGCAACCCTAGTTTGAAGATCTCGCCCAGAGTCCAAAACTACACCCTCAAGGTACTCCAGCATGCCCACTTCAAAAAGGGAAGCCGGGTTTCGTTCAGGCGCCTTCGCAGAGTAGTCATTCGCCATCTTTCGGATTCTAGCGTGCCTCGGCCCCGGTGTCTCGAAACCGAAGACGCCACCGAAATGTTCAATAGCATACACCAAGCTCTGCGGGGTGCGGAAACCTGATCCATCCGAAATGAGCTGGAGGATGAATTTTTGCATGAAGCCCTCGCTGAAAAGGTCCTGGGGTGCCTTCTCAGGGTCACCGTGCTCCTGGTATGCGTCAACATAACGCTTGAGAAGTCTTGCATACCGAAGACCTGTTCCGGCCGACCGCGGCTCGGTGAGGATGTGGAATCTATCTTCCAACAACTCCCCACCTTCTACCACCGTCTCTACCAGGTCCATCTTTATCTTCAAGACAACCAACTCTTCAAAAAGCGCCTTGGACAAAGAACGGAAGGTCTCCAACTTCTCCGTCTCCAAGGGATTTGACCGTGAGGGCAACTTAATCGGAACGTAACCGCGGGTCTGATCAACAAGCTCCCATTCACGTTCGGGAGGCTCCGCCTTCTTTTTGAAGTTCTTGAAGATGCCACTCTCAACCAACTCCGTCATGGGTTCCGTGGGGGTGTACTCGAACTCAGACTCTACGGCCCTCTCACTCTTCCTGTCAGCTTCTTTCACCTCAGGTTTCGCCCAGTCCGGTAAATTTGCCTCAGCTGGTGCAACGGCCTGCTTACGAAACGTCATGCGGGGTCCGTCTCCTTTCTTTGCCCACTCGGGCAGACCTGAAGAGTAACCCCCCGCAGCCGAGGTTGGAGATACTGACACGGGGCTCCCATGTCGCGGTTTCTCCCAGGGAGCTCCCCGGGGCGGTTCGGATCGGGATGTCGTAGAGCTCACCCCCGTATCTCTTCCTGGGCGTGGGGTGGCACTGCTCCCAGGAGTCGAAGAGCCAGAATGGGTGACCGTCGGCTCAAAAGGGGGGAGGGGAAAGTCTCCCTCCTCTCCCTTTCGGATCTCGCTCAGAATCTCTTTGGCAGGAACTCCTGCCTCGATCATCTTCGCGATTTCTACGCGGGCCGCCCACGCGCCGATGGCCATCAGACCAGAGGTCCTACCCAGCTTCGCACTGCCGGGCCGAGGCGACAACGCTGCCTCCGACCTCTTCATCTGATGGCCACGTCCTCTCTCCCACCCATCCATTCTCCCCCCGCTGTAAACAACGAGGAGGATGGCTGGTGGGCTTCAAGCCAAAATGGCCACATTTTGGTTGTGCTAGACGAACATTCACGATAGTACCCAAGGGCACAACTGGTGTATATTACTGTACGTTCTTTCCAATACATATACAAGCGATGGCCTAAGAGCGATGGCCTCCAACCTAAGAGCGATGGCCTCCAACCTACTACCAGTAGCAACCTACTAGAGATGGCCTCCAACCTGCTCGCAATGGCCTCCAACCTAAGAGCGATGGCCTCCAACCTACTAAGGATGGCCTCCAACCTGCTCGCGATAGCCTCCAACCTACTAGCAATGGCCTCCAACCTGCTCGCGATAGCCTCCAACCCACTAGCGATGGCCTCCAACCTGCTTGGGATGGCCACCTTCTAGTGATGGCCTCCAACCTGCTAGCGATGGCCTCCCTACTAAGTTACTAGCGATGGCCTCCAACCTATTTGTTCTTTTTAAATATGGGTATCATCTACTCTGCAATGTCCTGTGATGAGCCGCTAAACAAAACGGTGCCATATCGATTGTGAATTAGAAGTCGTCCACAAAGCTCTAGCAGCTCTAGCACCATCCTGGTCGCAAAATTAGACATCCATCTTCTTCGCTTCGCTATGTTCCGCTGGTCTTCAAGCAGGCCGACCGGAGCCACCAGCCGGAGCGACGGACTTCACGAAGGCGATCAGAGCCATCTGCAGCGCTTCGACATCTGCGGCGTCCTCTAGCGACGTTTTGAGATGCCTTGCCACCTCTTCGGCGTCCTCCAGCACATGGAGTCGGTCATCCTTGAAGCCATGGTGAAACACAAGCGCGGGGATCTGTAGTTGCCGCAAGTCCTCTGGGTAGAGCCCTAAGAAAGCTTCACCAATGAAACCCTCGATGAAGACTTGGGAGTTCAGCATCACATCTACAAACTCTTTCACATCCACTGAAAGAAGCGCCCTTCGCTGCATCTCTCTTTGAGCCAAAGCATGGAACTGGCTTCCAGGGGTGGCCACGATCGCTTCCATGCCACCCTGCTCTGCCACCTCTCTGCAGTCTCCATAGTAGGCTTGTGCCAACACCGAGGCGGCTCCAGCCGCATCCCCTGTGGGCAGTACAGCTAACCCGGCCACACGAGAGGGATATTTGGCCGCGAAGAGTGCCGAGAGGCGAGCACCAGAGCTCAAGCCCACTAAGACCACGCGATCTGTCTGGACAAAGTCCAAGAGAACTTTCAAGTCCTCCACCTCTTGCTCCGGCAAAGATGCTTCGGTCAAAGGGGCCCAAACACTTGATGCCCCTGAGCCGCGCCGATCCCAAATCAACACGGAGATATGCTCCTTGGCCAGTGCAAAAGCCAAGGCCCTGGCAGCACTCAAATCCAGCTGACCTCTTGGCGTAATCACCACTTCCGGTACACATCCAGCATTGACATTGCCTAAACGTTCAAATCTCAGTTCCAGATCTTTAGCCTTTGCCGTTGCAGACAACCCAGGCAAGGTCTTCTTACCTTCTAGTCGTCGCCACCAGCGGTTGCTTTCTGGGCCCAACAACTGGCCGAGGCGTTGAGTGAACCGTTCCGAGGCAAAGGCACGCCCGACCGCGCCGCGGCACGCGCGGAACATCGCTTTTTGTGGCGCCACTCTGCGTTGGTGTTTCTGCGAGGTGGTCCTTGAAGTAAGGTTTTGGTGTTAGAATAGTTTATGAGTTTAAGTGAGTTTATGATGTGAGGAAGCTACAGGTTCACCATATCCCACTTGTGGTAGCTGGCCCGGTTGTTCAGGAGAAGTACGTGGAACCGCAATTGTAGGCAGTCTTTTCTACGTACATCATCCGTCCTATCAAAGAAGCATCACCTCGTGGCAAAAAAAACTCATCAAGTGTCCTCATATTGATTGGTCGTGGTCACTGAAAGCATGAGCCACGAGCAATCCAAACCAGTGGGTTGTTCTTTCAATGTTGATCGGAAGCTCGGAAACATTCGATTGGCAGGACCTTGGGTCCGATATTGTTTCCTTAGACTGACACTCTCCCAGTTGCAAACTCTTCCCCTCCTTAGTTTCTTGTTACTACTAGCGATGGCCTCCACCCTAGTAGCGATGGCCTCCAACCTACTAGCTTCTTGCTACTAGGAGCGATGCCATGTGTTCCAGGATGTGGCTCTGGACATCCACTTTTCACTTACATGAACAGGCGCCTGGTGGGCGGTGTAGGCCTTCCCCTCTGCCTGGGCTTCCTGGGTTGTCGAAGGTTGCCCTACCCAACCCACTTGGCTTCTGCTATGAAAATGAGGCCGCAGCTGCCATATTGTCCACATCCATGTAATAGACATTGAGATCGTAACCTCAAACCCACAAGTCGAAACCAGGGTCGTGAACAACGGCATGGTGTTTTGTCTCAGGGTGGGCAACTCTAAGTTGTTCTGTGGGGTTCCTGTTGCGAATCCCACCTTGGTGGTTGCACAGCTAATTTTAGCCTGTGTGCACACCTATTTACCCTGGAAGTGCAAAGTCCTCCTGCTTCAAACCGCAAAACCTGGCCCGTTTGTCTCTCTGGTTTCTCCAGGCTTTGTCTCCAGGCGCGTGATTGGTGTCTTGACCGCAGTGTCAGTGCCTGCCTGGCGGGAAAGTTGGATGACTGAAGCTGCAAAGACTGGTATCCTTGCCCGAGCCTTGTTGAACATGAGCCAGTAACAATGATGATCCTGGAATGCAAAAGGAAAATCCGCCAAAGTGAGCTTCCAACGGGTTGCGTCCAACACATCTGTCTTTTGCTTTCTTTGGGCCGCTATATTATACCTTATCTGATTGTGGAATCTGGCGCTGCTGTTCCTATCACTCATCCATGACACTCCTACTGGCTGTCTCTACAGCTCCTAGAACCCCTACAGCTCCTACCAGTGGTTTTTGGGCCGCTTTGCACAGCAGTCCCCACACTCTTCCCCAGTCCTTGGAATCACCACCGATCGCCGTGGCAATGCCAGTGACCGTTACAGACTCACCCTGACGCCACCAGACTCGCTTTTGAAGGGATTGAGCGGGAGGAAAAGACATGCGCCAACAAACCACCTGGAAATATTCCTGAAAAAGAAAGTGGTCTGATTGGTTGGAGATGGTCTAAAGTCTCAAGATCCTTCGGATATCTGAGCGCTATCTTGGTATAGCGGCCGGCACAGCGGCCAGACTCACGACTCACACGACTCGCGTTGTGACCTTCGGGGGAGGCACACCGCTCTCCGCCAGAGGAGCTAGCACCTCGGCCGCGGCTCGGGGGTATGTGCATCTGACGAAGCCATCAGCATCTAGAATCTAGAAGGACCCAACCAACTGTCGAAAATTTTTGGGGCACGATGCAAGAAGATTATCTGTTTTGCCTTGCAGCTTAGAAACTCATGTCATGTACATCCAGTGCCTACACTCGGCAAATCCACACTCATCTTGACCACTCTGAGCAACTAGCTGACATGTCTCCACCGAAGCCTTGCATGACGTATTCAGGGCGCTGTCCAAGTAGCCTTGACCATGCAAAACGTTGGATCTTACACCAGTCCCTTAAAAGATCTGACCGCATGTACATGTCTGTGTTCAGATTTCTCAACCTGAAAGGAACTAAGCTACGCAGCTACTCCACCTGGCTCTTCTTTACCTGTTACTTCTGCATTGCTCGTGTTCTTTCAACCAAAGTTGCCACGTCTGCAACGTGGTGGTCCTCCCTGAGCACGTATGGCTATACCTCAAGCTGCATGCTTCTCGATTGGCGCTAGACTATCTTTGAAATTGACCTAACAGCTTTAAGCTTGATTGCCACAAAGCAGTTGAAAAGGAATGCCATTGAAGTAAAGTACGGTTGGAAAAAATGCAGGGTAGATTGACGCGACAGCAAATGAACAAGGCAACAACACATGCAGCTTTCTCCCCTGCACCCACCAGCAGCACACAAAGAGAGATGCCTTTCATCTGGAAACGGTGAGAAAGCGCCCCTCTGTGCCGTCCAGGTCACCGAAAGCGCTCCGTCAGGAACATCACCAGCTTGCCTGGTGTTGCCTTGCAACGAGACGGTCAGCGAAACTGACACAACTTTGAAGAGCAACCCAACAACAGCACCTTCTAAGAGTGGAACGTCGATACAAGAGTAGCAAGAAGCTACTAGGGGCTCCTGGCATCGCTACTAGGAGCAAGGACGCTACTAGGAGCTCCTGGCCGTACTACTAGGAGCAAGAAGCTACTAGTAACTAGAAGCTAGTTTAGAAACATAATAATGATTCGGCTCGCTCACTGGCGATGGGAGGCTTGCCTCGATGGTGATCTCTGGCCGGTCAGCTCTTGGGAGCAGCTTCAGCGTCCCAGTCCGAGGCCCCAGGAAGTGCATCATGCACACACGCCGCCGCTTCACCAAACTCATGAAGGTCTCCCGCTCTCCGCTACCCGGCTCCTCCGAATCCAACACATCAGCAGAAGAATGGGCGAGAATCCACCAAAACTTACTGGACTTGAACTGATCTATATGTGTGTGTATATATATATATATATGTGTGTGTGTACATGTTTCAAACATGGAAAGATGCTGAAACATTTGTCCCCAAATGTCTCGGTCAACCGAAAGACATTGTTCACTCCTCAGTCGCTTGGAAGGCCTTCTCCTCTTCCACAGTGCTAAAGGTTTGTCTCACCATGAGATTCGTGCGGCCGGTGATTCGACTTCCCAGCTCACTTCTCAAGACGGGCGTGATGCCATCCATCAGCCTCAGGGGTGACAAAAAAGGGCCCCGAAACGCTCCACTCGGCCACTTGGAACCATGTTTCAACCAAGGTTGAGTTTTTTCTTTTTTTCAAGTTGGTCAGCGAAACCTCAGAACACATGCCTCGTAAGGCGTGTGTCCTCATCTTGGAAGATTCGGATGAGCTCCTCCGAGGCTTCCTCCAAGTCGATCAAGGCATGCTTCTCTTTACTCTCGACCCCCAAATAGTATGGCTCAAACTCTGCAGGTATTCGACTGAAATCGAGATACCTCCTTGGCCGTACGGATGTGCTGATAGCTTCAAACCGAATCAACAGCGTGGGGAACGTGAAAAGACCAAAGGAGCCCCTAGTGGCGTCCTTGCTCCTAGTAGCGATGCCAGGAGCCCCTAGTAGCATCCTTGCTCCTAAGACCTCTTTTATATAGTTCAATACGGCCCGTGGTTGTAAGACTTCCGTGATCTCTCTGTGAAAACTGCAATGATCAAAAGAACCCCAGTCCCTTTGAGTTCATTCACGTGCTCGCGTCACACATAGCCGAGGCTCTCGGTGGCCGAAATCATCGCCTCCACCTCGCTCCGGAGGTTGAGCGCTCGACTTTCGCAGTAGCCGTCCATAATCAGCTGCGAGGCCATGGCATCCGCGAGGACTTCGCTATTGGAGCCTGAACAAGAACTCCGGCTCAACCAGCTCAACTCACCGGAAAACATCAGAAAACGGGGTCAACTCCAGAAGATCCCCACAGAATCAAGATTTTGAGGTGGAAACACTTGATCTCCATAGCCTTCATCCCATCCAGCCTGGCCCTAGCACGAAGTCATCGACCGCATTCAGCGGTCTGGGCTGATCCACGCGGATCAGCTGCCCGGCAAAGCTCAGAGCCAGCCATTGCGGGCCCTCCCGGCGCAGCAGCTGAGCGGGCCCATCCACTGACACTCGGCCAAGGATCTCTACTGCTTCACCCACCTCAATGACCTGGCGGCAATTTGGGGAGACTTGGCGATCAAACCCCTTTAGAGTCGCAAACAGTCGGTTTGTTCAAGAGTCGACACTGAACCAGACTTGTTTGGGCGTTTGCCTCCTCGTACGTTCCAGAGACTTGCACTAAAGCACCCGGAATCAGCTGGGCCATGGCATCAAGCGTTAACAAAAACGTCCATGCGAGGACCCGGTAAGGAATGAAGAGTCTGCAGGACTACTGGGTGGCACACACGTAAGGCTGGTGGAGGCTCTTCAGCTGATTTTAGATGTAGGCTGAGTATCACAAGTGAGGAGGTGAAACACCTTATCTGCGGTCATCAGCTGGTACACTCAGAGACCATGTGCTCTTTGGACATGCATACGCTGCAGCAAGTGTCCAATATCCGCAAGCACCAACCTATCGCAAAAGGCATCTGACCAAATGTCTAAACCTGGCAAATGAGTACAGAGTGTTGCACCTTCAAAGGATTTGCAACCATTTTCACCTTACTCAGCATCGGAATCATCGTCATCATCCTCCATGATCTGCTCATGGATCTGCGCGATATTCCTGGAATGTTTGCCCTCTTTGGTGAGGATGGACTTGTCCGATAACTGAATGAGGCAACAACTTACATGTCCTTGCTCAAGAAGACTTGGAAACAGCTGTGTGTATACAGTAACACCTACCAAAGGAAGATTGATTAGGTTGGATGGGCTCTCACAACTGCCCACAGGACTCCCTTTTTGGCTAAAAAAAACGTCCTGGCCGCCATCTCCCGAAACTCCACTGGCATCTTGCTTGCAATGAAAGCCTGAAAGGCCATCGTGCAGTGGCTTTTGGGATCCCTGGCCCAAACATTTGCAAAGCAGGTTCCCAAAACTCGATGCAAGCTGATGATGTCAAACCAATACATTGGCAGGGCTGGCATTAACGTTACAAGCTGCAATGGGGCGAGGAGGTTTCTTTAGAAGTAACTTGGATTGCTCCAGGAATTCCCAGTGCTTCTACTCTAGCCATACACGATCGGATTTCTTCGGGCTTAGTTCTCGTGTAAGTTGGCAGGAGACCTTCCCGCTCTGCAGTGCCTGGCGCACCAAGGTAAGGCGTTGTTCTTGTTTGGACCAACATGGGACTCTCATCTGTAAGCGACTTAGGCCACCCACCTGATCACCTGCCTCCCGCAGCCACCCCCGCCTCCCGCAGCTCATCAGAGATGCGCGCACGGTTCTGCAAACCCCAGAAGGGGTGGTGCAACCTTGACGCCCGATCTGTCCGGAAGCAGGAGGAGCAGGGAGCAGGAGTTCCACGAGGGTGTGTACAAAGATTGTACAATCTTGATGAATAAAAGTTCCCCTTTTGCGTTGCAGAACGTCTTCATACGGTGGGTTGAAATACAATAGAGTCTACATTGCTAGAAGCAGGGTAGTGTCCAAGAGCTAAGGGAGAGCTCAGTGCTTAGTTATGGACTCTCAGACCTCTCTGAGATTCTGCGGCGTCGAAACCACTCCAAGCCCCATGCGTAACAGACGCGTCAAGGTGCACTGCATAGTGCCACCTGGTCGCAGGATCTTATTGTTATTATATAGTTATTGTGATTCTTATTGGTAAACACAAAAGCAATAGCCTCCAACCAAATACCAATGGCATCCAACCTAATAGCGATGGCCTCCAAGCTACTCGCGATGGCCTCTAACCTACTAGCGATGGCCTCCAACGTAATATCTGAATCTGGAGCAGTCTTAGAGTTGCAAATCAACTGATCCTGAGCCCAGATGGGGCGGTGCAATTCTTGGCTTTGACACATTTGATTCTGATGTGTGTTGACTCTGACCCAAATCAATCTCAGACCCGAGCCAGCCACTCGGAACTACGAGGGTCTCACCGGGCTGAAGAATCACTGCCTGGCAGCTTTTCTAAATGCAAGATGATGCAACTGTGCATTTGGGGTTCCAGGTGTTGCTGTCAACATAAGCTCTCTGGAAGCGAGGTCGATGCATTTGGGAACTCAGAAATGTAAAACTTGGCCGCCGAAGCGATTCCAAACGCCCCATCTGCCGGTAGGGCCTGTGCTTTTGCATTGCTGAAGCTCGAGTGCCTGACAGAGCTATGACTTTCCCTACATCTTAAGATATAACTTGATAGACAGCCCAGGCGGCCGCGGAGTAAAAAAAGCGAGGCCGTGAAGAATTGTTGCGCCTCTTGGGATTGGGGAAGAAGATGTCGACCGAGCTTGCAGAGGCTGCGTAACCTTCCAGATGGTCCACGGCGCCTCCTTCCTCCTGCCACATCCAGATCGCTTCAGCAAGGGCTAGAGCTCACTTGGACCGGACCCAGGTTGAGGATGCCCCTGAGACCGCCCCGTTTGGCCCAGTAGCAAGGTGGGATTCTTGTGGTGTCAGTGATTGGGGGTAGTTTTTACAGTAAATCAATTGTCATCTCCCCTCCCATGCTTCTTCAAAGCTGAAGTGGTCTTTCATAGAAATACTTCACGAACCGGTAGCGTCTCCTTCGATTCTTCTTGCCACAAAAAAAAGAACGGGCGAAACAAGGTGGGAGTGAATTCCTTTGAATCTCAGCCACACATCATCGAACGTGGAAGCAAATCTCCTCGGCCAGGTGTTCTGTTTGCTGTGGAGAAAAGAGGATGAACAGTCGTCTGCCCTGAATCTGGGTATACCAGGTGTGGGCCCCGTTGTTGGTCACGTGCAATCGACTGATACATCCTGGTGCACCCAGGGAAATCTTGTAGAAGCGCGCAAGGTAGTCAATGAAGTCCAGACTGAACACTGCTGTGAAAGCTCCTTTTCTGTTTCTGTGGATGGACCTCAAAACAAATATATATCTTGACTTGAGGGAACTAAAACTAGGGTGCCCACAAACCCCACCCCAAGGGGTTTTGATGACATCCCAGTAAAGGAAGAGGTGACAAAAAACTGTTTGTGGTTGTGTCGTGGTCTGAGAGAAGATCTGGTGGTTGACTTGGCCACGCCTAGGTTCTCATCCACTTGAAGGACAAGTCCTTGACACCCTTGGGTGTGAGTTCACGCCAGTGTCGCTCCAGAAGGGCACGGCCTTCGGTGCTTACAAATGGGCACCAACCATCCATCACTAGTCTGGGAAAGGCCAGAGCATTTTCTTCCAGACAATCTGGATCCTTTTCTTGAAGAAGCATTGCATAATCCACATATTCACTTGGAGAACCCTCGACATCCACCACATCACTTGCTCTGCGATCATGTTCAAAAGCCGGGGATCGAGTTCGGCATGTCCACCACAAGCCCTTGCTATGAGTCTTCCAAAACTCCATCGTCCAGGAGCGACCACACCAATCCGGTGGACAAGGCACCACCACAGGAACTCTTGGAACTGCCGGCGCTTCTTTGGCAGTTTCAACCGGTGTACAGCTACTAGCCGCACAGGCCGCACAGGCGCTGCCGGCGGAGCGAAGGGCTTTCTCATTGGCTACGCGACACCACGAGAGATACTCCGCCGAGGCCTCTCCAATCTTCAGCTCGGCCAAGCGTTGCCGCGCGCGGGACAGGAAGGGGCAGCTGGCTGCGCCTATGGCCACCGTTTAGAACGTGGAGAGGGGAATCTAGTCCCGATGTTAAACGTACAAAGGAGAAACACTGTGTTGGCAAATGATATGTCCAGCGTTTTAGTTGGAAGCCATCCCTCGCACATGCACATGCAATTAAGCTTGGATGCAGGCAATGCAGGCATTCCCCGAAGTGGATTACGTGAAAAAATCATGGATACACACTGGCTGGAAATATTTGCATACTGCTCGCTCACTCGACTGTGGCCTCTCTTCTCCTTGGGCTTGAGCTGTCCATTGCTCCCGAGAAAAAGTTCCAGATCCGACTTTTTCCAATAACGGGCCTCCTCATGGGAGCGTTCGGTATGTGGCACGGAGAGCTCTAACAATCACACGACGTGGACAAAAACACATGTCTCAAGTGAGCAGCATGTTTGCCTTGATCTGTTCAAAACATTAAAAGCAAAATATATCCTTTACTTCGAGCTATCCCCACCCGCCCAGGCAGGTGCTGGCGTATCAAGTGTTACATGTGTTGTGGTTTTGTTTGGCGTTGCTGTTGTGTGTGTTTGTGTGTGTGTGTCTGTGTAACCTTTGGAGTCACAAGGTTCCTGTCGGAGTGCTTTTATCAGGACTTCTGTTTTTCTTTTTCTTTGGAGTTTGAAGCAGGGGGTGCCAGGGACCCTGCAAGTCTGGCACTAACAAAGACACTTGCACTGGTCTGTGATATAGCTCCGGGACGCTGGAGCTACGTATATACCTGCTTTGAGAAGAACCTACGCAAAAGCAAAGCTGTCCAATACGTCGTTTCTGCACTTCGTGTTTCTGCAGTAAAGGGCTAGTGCATCGGCGACTCACCTTGGAACTTTCGTGAGCTCGGGGCCTGATCTTGAACTTGCATTTGGAGGCTTTGGAGGTTTTTGGATTCACCGTCTTGGAATTAGCATTCTTCACCTACCTGGTCTCCTAGGTTTTCACTTAGGCCAGCGTGTGGCAACCGCTTTCAAGTCAGTACGCATTTCTATAAGTGTGTGTGTGTGTGTGTGTCACCTCCCGTCTCTAGGGATTCTAATCGCTACTATCCGCTATGATAACAAAGAGGCTCTTCAGGTTGTGCTGGTCTCAGCGAGGACGCTTGCTGACGTACCTGCTTGCACAGGGCCATTTCTCAGGTTGGAGGTCGTCTGCATCAAGTAACTCTAAAGGGCTAATGTACACCGAGATCCACACGGAACACTTGCTCCTTAGATCTCTTTCTCAAGTGTGTGTGTGTGTGTGTCATTGTTTGCCATCTGTTTCAATTTTTCTCCTGGTGCATTGTCAGGTGTTGTGTGCTGTGGTTATGTTTGGTGTTGTTCTATGTTGTTTTTGTGTGAGTGTGTGTGTTGTCGGTGTCTTGTTTTGTTGTCTGTTGTTCTGTTTGTCATCACACTCGGCGATGCTTAGCAGCAGCAGAGGTCACAATAGGGTGGGCTGTCTAGTTGAAAATCTAGAGAAATGGAAGCGATCCTGTCGGATATGGTAGAAAAAGTTGGTTCGCCATATCTGAAGAATATGGTTTCGACCCCCCAATCTCCTCTGGCAGACTCCCCTTGAAGTCTGGAAAGTACGAGAGCAACTCATCAATTTCGCTTTGTTCCAGTGGCGCCGCCAGGACTTCCATCGTCTTTTTGTAATCGGAATGAAAGTCCTACTACTACTGGTTCGCTACTAGTAACAAGGACGCTACTAGGGGCTCCTGGCATCGCTACTAGTAATCAACAAGGTGGATGTTTCACCCGCGTGATTTGGCTGAGTCTTCTTCCCTTGTATTTAAGGCTCAAGCGCAGACTCTTGCAGTGGTTGCTTAAGCTTGACAAGCCTTGCCTGGGGATGAACCGTTGAAAACTCGTGATGACCCTTTCAGATCAGATTTCTTTGAGTCTCGTCGAGCCTTCAAGCTTGTATATATAATGCAGCTTCCCTTCATCTTTTTGCTGTCAGCTCTAGCAGGTTAGCCCAACCTACAGCTTCAGCTTGATCCTTCAGCATACACATTGATAGAAACAAACCATAACAAACCACTCTGTTGGTGTCCCATGTCCCACAAAAACCCTGGTAAATTGCATTCATGTTGCACCAACTTGAGGCTGCCAACATCCACATTTTGATGCTATTCTGAGCCGGATGAGTCATCACTTCCATCCGTTCGGTGTGAGAGTCCCAGAGCTCGTCCCAACAGGGTGTCGGGGAAAAACGTGTCAATCATCCTCAGCAAGAATAACAAAGTGCCAAAACCTGTATATAAGTATGTACATAAGAAGAACTGGCGCATGGCAGTGACCAAAGCAGGTTGAGGTCACCACCATGCGATGGTGGCTGTTGGCACGAAGTCCGTGAAAGGCAAGAGCTCCTTGGAGAGACCGCCAGACCAGTTTCGGCTCAAAGCGATGCATCATCCGCGCCTCAAGGAAGCCGATCCCAGAAATGCCTCGCAAGAAGAAGCCGAGAAGCCCAGAGTCATTCATTCAATAAAGTGCGAGACAAGTAGGTTTGGCAGGGTTTGGCTACAGTCAGTGGGTTTCAGAAGCTTTGTGACATTCTTACAGTTCCCCTCAAAGCTGTGTTTTGCACCAATGACCATCCACCTAGTCTATGCGGTCTGAGGGTGCGGCTGTAAGAGCGGAACAGCATTTGCAAAGCGATGCCCTGCAGGGTGTCTGGTCTTTTGAGCGAGGCCAAAAACAGCTGGGTTCGGTTTGGGGCAAACAGCCAGGACAAAAGATCTTTTTGACTCTGCATCCTGGCAGAAGCGGTTGAAGCAGCAGTTTCGGACTTGGGTGTGGGTCAACACCTCACCCTACAAAACCACAGAAGCTTGACATCTGTGTGGAATCGCTTCATTTGACCTGGGGTCAACCAGTGGTTCGGGCTTTCACAGGAAACTTGTGGTGGTCACATCGATTCAATCGGCTCGATCGGCTCGATCGCTGCCTGGAGAGGAGCATAGCCGAGGTCGGCCGTCTCACCTACGCCGGGCATGAGGTACGTCGCATCGCCAAAGACATCCAAACCTCAGAACAGGCGACCCCCAGACTAGTAAGTCCACCATTTCCGGAGTATCGTCTCCTTTTTGGAGACTAGGGTTGAGCAACCAGACTATGGCCATAGATGGCCACCAATCTTTCGAGTTGGATCATATTGATGAGTCCATGAATGAGGTTCTCGGATCTTTCCGTTGGAACGGAACGACGGAACGGAGGCAAAACCAAGATCTTCACCAATGCAAGCCATCAACTTGGCAAGTTGGCCCACAGTGCAGGCCTCGCACGAACCCTGCCGACCTTGGAATGATCTAACTATACACCGGGAAACTACCAAAACCAAAAGGATGGGTGTGTGCTAGGAGCTAGCATGTTTATCATGCACTTAAATTGTGTTATATAATACGTATGTGCACTATGGCTTGATGTCTTCCTGGGCACAAGTCGGCCCATGTAGTAATCTCGAGTCATCCTCCGATCTCCCCATCAGCGCCGTTGGCTCACCGGCCTTGGCGCAGCCCGAGCCAGGAGACACTGGGCGCGGAAACGCCTGGCTGGATGCTTTCAGAGGAAGAACATCTACAGCATCCAAATGTATCAAAATGCGTGGGAGGGCCGTTGGAACCTGAACTTCTTCGAGGAGATCAATATGTTTCGAAGCCCTTTTCTGTGAGGTTTTGGAAACACGCCGCGACTGCCTCTGCCTCAATCTGTTGGAGTGGCTGTCCTTAAGGAACAAACCAAGCTGTGCAAAGGTTTCCTTACACAACGAAACCTCGGGTAGAGGGTCTTCCCCACCGGACTGGGCACAGCTTGCAGGGTGCAATTACAATGTTTTTAGGCAGACTTCGAGTAGAGTACAGTGTGAAAGAGAGATGCAGTGAGAGCATGACTTGGTCATCATTCATCCTGATATATCATGATCTATCATCTACAAGTAGGCCACAATGCACTCTAGGCACTGCCCGCCTTTGGACGGTCGGCCTCGAAGCTGTCCTGAGACCTCATTTGCATCTTTTCCAATTTGGACAAGATGGAGAACCAAAGTCTATCTATTCAGACAAAAGTCCATCGGCTGGAACAATCGCTGACTGCTTGCGGAATGCGTGCTCGGCCACGCACTGAGCCACTAGGGCCACTAGGGCTGAGGCCTCATGTACTCTGAGTGCCCACTGTACCTACAGCGCCGCATCATTCTTTTTTTACAGCGGTTCGCGCCAATCAATTGAGGTCTCGGCAGGCATTGTGGACATACAGGAAATGTAGCAAAACCATGCGAAGCCATAGCAGAGTGAACCCCTGCGTGAGTGAGGCATTCCATTCTCGAACATCAGTCACTTTGCTGAATCGTGCCGAGGGCGCCAAAAGAAGGTGATACCAAGAAGAGCTGCCGCATCTACCCAGCCTGCCAGATGGCTCGGTGCGCAAACTCACCCAGGCAACGCTTGACCCACGCCAAGGACAGCCTGTTGCGTGACAGCTGCGCTGCCAGTAGACGCCTGAAGTTGAAGAGTGATTACACATGTTGTGGTTGATGTCAGGAGAGATTCTTTGTGTTTTTGGCTCTTTCTGGATTGAAGCCATTCCTACACTAAGGTGGAAACCCAGGATGCTCCACACCAGGCTGGCTGCCCAGGCGAAGACCTGGCAACTTCGCTCCAAAAAGCGTACTCAGGCACGGCAGGGATTGATGTGCATGTTCAGAAATCATTGTTCATTTCCGTCAGAAGTTTCTGACGTCCTGTCGGATTTCTATTAGCAAGGGTAGCAATCAAGTGCGTTCAATTCATTCACAAGCTCGATCTCCTCATGAACCGTGGGCGGGAACATGACTGGACGAAGGATTTTTTGATTATACATATATATATATATAGTAGTGGGTGAAAATAGCGATTGAAGTGGGCCAAAATGTAGTCGTTTCCTGGAAACCTCCGGTCCATTGTCATGCTACCCTCGCCATCTGTTGACATTGCGTCGGAAGGACAAAGCAATTACTGTATATAATCTGCATCCGAGACGCATAAAGACATACTCCAAAGTCTTCCCAAAAAACTTCTTGGAAACTCTCCTGCTTGCAAGGCTGTTCTGGCTCAACTGTTGGTGCCTTGTGATTCATCTCAAACTAAGAAAAACACCAAGGAACCCTGAAGAGACATAGAAGTTATAAACAAGCTGCACCTTCATCCAGCCAGTCTTCCAAAAGAAGAGATCATTCAGATTCTGGGTAGCTTTCTTGAAGCAGCGTAAGCTATCCTATGTCCAGTTACTAGTAAGCGACCACTAGCGATAGCAATTAGCCTTTACTTAATTGAGTAGCCGCCTGCTTAGTTGAGTAAAAGAAGGAAGAGCGTATTCAGTTTCCCTAAAAATCTAGGAACCAAAGCATTAGTGCGAGCGCTTCTTCAATTAAGCTATCCTGCATCCTAGCTACAAGCTAACTTAGCGTAGTAGCTTACCTCCCTGAAGTAGGCGCCTATATAATTATATAAGTAGGAGCGGGCTGACAAAAAAAGAAAGATTGTGAACTACTAGGAGTTCTTTGGAGTCCAACTAGGTCCAAGGCTCATAAATGGTTGTGAGGCGATGGCGCCTGACTGAGTGTCTGATAGTTTCGTCCAACAGTGTCACTGATGCCTTCAGCTGACAGGGGGAATTTAGAATGAGCGCTTCTCTACAAGAAGCAAATATTGAATGCTCAAAGCAATTCCCCAAACTGCTTCGTTTTTCAGAACTTCACATGTTCCAAGGCAAGTCCTCCGTGCAACCTCTGTCGACAGTGTCTTTCATTTCAACAGCGACGTAGCACGTTCTTCAAGAACAACGCCGGAGAGTCTCACATGTACGTGCACATGTATATTACTAATGAAGAAGCTACTAGTAACAAAGGGCATCGCTACTAGGAGCAAGGACGCTACGAACGTAGCTCCTGGCCTTACTAGTAACAAGAAGCTACTAGGTTGGAATGTTATGTGCTCGGAGACTCTTTCTCCCCCACGACGTCCCAGCCCTGAAGGAAACCTCATTTTCTACACGGCCCATGCAAAACACCACGGCCGTCCGGTTCCCGTGGTCCAGCGGTTCGAACCGTTACACCGTTACAGCGGCTCTCCTTCACCTCCTTCTGAGACACTTCAGTTCGTGTTCCTGCTCGATGTGACAACCTCAGACGTGAGGTTGATCACCCACACCCACAGAAAACTGGCAAAGGAAAGAAAGACGCATGTCATACGTCGGATTCCAGCCAACCTTGTGGGGCACGCGGGTGTTTCAACCTCTTCCAACTCTTCGACTTGTTAAATCTGAGTTAATTTCAGAACACTCTTTCAACTTGCAAACACACAGGAAATATGAACACGTCATCTTGCAAGCAAAGCAGCGTCTGCATCAGTCGATGCTGTAGGTAGGGTGGGAAAATCATATTGAGCCACGCGAAGCCTGCAATGTTTACAAAAAAGGTAAAACAACACACACACACACAGAGCTCATGATCTTTCCAGTTGCCCCATCTCCATGGCAATGTGCGCCGAGCACACCCATCTGCAGCTTCAGCCAGCCGGAAAGCCCAACCTGATGGAGTTGATTCTGCTCGTGAAAAGGAGACATCTTTTTCAGCCCAAAAAGAATCCTCCAGCGGACACGGATCCTTGAGGCTACAGCCTGCCGTGCGAAGCCTTCAGGTAGCAG